TTCTTTTGTATGTCCAGTGTAACATCTTTTTCCATGTCATTCTTGTAGCCTGTCATTTTTAGATCTGCTTCCAAATCAGTCTCAGTCATGTCAGGTAATACTTGTTCCTCTTCCATAGCATCTTTTAAACCCAGTCTATCTGTAGAGGTAGACCCTTTTAAAATTAACTTCTGGGTCCATTGTTCAAAAATATCCTTCAATATGTCCAGTGTTAAAATATTTTGCTACATTCTGTATTAGTAAGTAAAAATTAAGTGTTATTCTCCTTTAATTGTAATCTTTAGTTCCTTCTAGTTCCCTCTAGTATCCAATTTTTAAAGTCTTTTAAATGTTTTTTTAAATTATTCAGAACAAAAGCATTTTCCCATGGGAAGGATACTTTATAAATAATTCCAAGATCTTATTTCAAATTTATCTGGACCCTTAGTCCATTTGTAACTTTCTAAAATCAAAGTTTTAACCCTTTTGCTGTTTATTCCAGAAAAAAAAAAATAAGTCCTCAAACTTATATTTAAAACTTCTTTTGCTAAGGGTTAAAGGAAACTCACCCAGTGCTGTGAAACCTGTCAATCCAAAGGTTCCTAATAGCTGAAAAACAAGTAATTTCTGAAAGTGATTAGAAAAGGAAGTATGTGAACCCAGTGTCCTTTTAAAGGTGCTGATCATGGTTTGAGCAAGATGGCTATTCCTTCATCTCCCAGAGTTCTGAATCCACTTGAGACTGCTGTCTTGTGATCTCACGGTGAGCAACTATCTGGAGCACTTGTGGGCAATCTCAAGTCCTCTCCTTCTCTGGAGAGGAATTATGAAGAAAGGGTTTACTTGCTGGCTCTTCATTCCACTATGGTTGTTGGCTCCACTTTTCTCGGAGCCATCTTCAGTTCGCCATTTCTTCCTGGAAGTCCATTTTTATCCTTCCCTATTTGTAGATGTCCGCATTGATCTTCTGGTATGGGAAATGTTGGATCCAATGTATAATCTGCAGGAACCCAGTTTCAGATCAGGGGACTGACATTGTGTAATTCGGGTCAGAGACTGGTGGCATCTAGTCACCTCAAGTTATAGTCAATAGTGATCCAACTTAAGGTTTGATCAATGAGATTCCATCTGAATTAATGCAGCATGTTTGTGGCTTTTGAGGCAATAAATATGTATGAAAATTGCATGCCTACACTGGTTCCAGTTGGAAATCCTGTTCCTGCTGAAAGGAACTTTTGATCTCAAGATTTTGTAACATGTATTTTATTTGGAAGAGGCATATCCAAAACAACTAAAGGCTTGGAATATTTGGCAGGTACAGGGGAGATGGATGCAGAAGCAGCAGCTCAGATTTCTGGTTCCCTCTCCTTCAGCAAGCGAAGGAGGCTCTGCTTCCCTACTCAAATTTGACTTCAACTCTAGGGGGAATCTTTGTGTCTACCCTAAATATACTTGTCCACAACTGCAGGGAATGTAGTAGACCCCTGATGATGAGAGTGGATTTCTGCCATACAGAGAGGTACACCTATTGCAAGTGACTGCCAGAACCCCATATCTAGCTATGATGTCTCCTATATGCTTTGAAGGAAGAGAGAGACAGACAGACAGATTTATTAAAGTTTGGGCAACATTTGCAGGAATAGGCAAATGTTTCACTGGAGTGATAGCATTTCAATCATATTTAAGGCTGCCATGCATATGGGCTTAAAGGCAAAAAGAATTATGGTAAGAATGTCAATATGGTATTTCAACCAAGTAGTAGGGAAGTTTGAGGATCAAACCCAGTATCACACAAACAAGTTCATTTTCTTCTTTCCTCCATTGCTGTCCATAGTGGAGACCTTCCTTTACTCTTGGAGGTTCTTCAGATAGTTTCTGATAATTTTCCAGGGGTCTGCCTTTATGTGGAGAGACACTCTCCCTCTATACATGGAGGGTTGATATGAGAGGGGATGCAGCTATTATGCTTGAACCCACTATTTCTGAACATGAATGGTTGTAATGTAAAACAAAGAGGGATGAGGGAGTAGAAGTATTTATTTAAATTGGTATACATCAGAGTACGTTCATATCAAGTTAGAACACAGGCAGTAAAAATTACAGCTATGACGTACTGTATCAGAACAGCAGTTTTGAATTTTTCATCTTTGTTACCATTCTTACTCCACTATCAAAGAGGCATAATTTTTCATTGCTTTTATAACCATATGCAGGAGTGGTTTCAAAATGCTTCAATTGGTCTCTGTTCACCAAGTTTCTCACCAAGTAAAAGAAGAGAAAGACAACTAGTAACAGAAAAAACACCCATACAGTATTAATATCCCATCTTTCATTCAGGAGCTCAAGGTGCTGTACTTAGCGCTCCCTGAGGTAAGTCGGGCTGATGGAGAGTGAGGTTCAGTGGTTGAAAATGACTACAACCTAGGTTTCCCTATTCTCTGAAGATTTGAGCTTCATTGCTACCCATCAATGAGTGGGGACAGGAAACCTCTTGGCGGTGTGAAGAACAGAGCAACGTTACTGCACACTTCCATTTGCAAACTTTGCTGCTGACAGTGAAGATTGCAAATGGTGATCATATGATCACGGTGCAGTTGGCAACCAGTTGTAAATGTGAGCTGGTTGCCAACTGCCTGAAATGCGGCCATGTGACCATGGGGGGGCATGCTTTACGACAGCAGGAAGTGCTTTATGGCCATAAAGCACCTTTTCCAAGGCTGTCATAACATCAAATGGTCATTAAGCAAGGACTACCTGTATCTATATTCCATCTTTCATTCAAGAGTTCAAGGTGCTGTACTTAATGCTACCTGAGGTAAGTCAGGCTGATGGCAAGTGAGTAGCCCTATGAGGTTCAGTAGTTGAAAATGAACAAGAACCTAGGTTTCCCTATTCCCAATCCTATGCTTTAACCACTGCACCACATTGGCTCTATTAGTACCAAAGAAATGAGTTAGGACAAATACAAACTGTAAGAACTAGAAAGAATAATGTACAAGACATAATACTGAACACTGACAATGCATTTGTAATTATAACAGCTCAAGCAGCAGCAACACTCAAAGTTACAATTAAATATTTATAGCTGCGTGAGCAGTCATTGATTTTTGTAATACTCTTCTCTTACTTGAGGAATCAGTTTAATGTTTTCTTCAGGTGTTTTAACTCTTGCTTAATTTTCTAGCAGTTTTACTGCATGTTTATGTTACTGGTCAGTTTGAGAGACCAAGCTATTTATTCAGCAGTGCCACGAATTTCACAATAGAAATTAACAATACAAGTTCTATTGTTGTGTATTAAATTCTCTCTTTTTTAGGAATGCATACTTCAAAACATAATTGAAAAGGAACTTACATGAATTTTCTCATTATACTATCATAAACTCACTCATAAATATGAACAAAAGATACCCTGAATAATTTGTATTCAGCCACAGATCCCAAATCTAATGGAAACATTAAATGTTTCCATGAAACTCTTGTGTTTCATTTTGAAGTTCATGTTGTGTTGTAAAGAGCAGTACCACAACTCATACCCAAAGAAACATTTTTGTTGTTTAGGTAAAAGGCAATTTTGGGGAGGGGGAGCACCAGATTCAGTGATCGACAAGTCTGCCCTCATAGTAACCCTTGCAATCAGGCCATCACTGGTCACTCCAATTGCATCCTTTTGGGGAATGGAGAACACTTGGGCATTGAAAGACATTTAGTTTTATCATTTTCTTCAATGTATTACCTCCCAGTCCACCCTGAATACATATGTGACAACATTGCGTAAAATTCATTCGTTGATCTAGTTTAGGAACTAATATATTTTATGGCAAAGGCGGTGAGTTAATCTCTCATAGTTCAGCCTCAGTCTCTGACAACCTCTCCAAATGCATTCAGAAAATAGCATTATTCCTAAGAAATATGCAGCGAGAGTGCTTAGTGCAAAAAGAAGGAAAAAAGTAATCTGCCTGAAATTTAGCAAGAACATACCCTCATACTAGAGCCATTACCACCCCAATTTCATCACATTCTCACAAATCAAAATGGCATATTTAAATTTTTATAAAAGCTTAAAATCCCCATATTGATCACTGTGAAATTTGATATACAGTGGTACCTCTAGTTACGAACGCCCCTACTTACGAATTTTTCAAGATACGACCAGCCCCAGCCCCAAAAATTTACCTCGACTTGCGAACTCACCTCGACTTACGAACCGGATCCGCGGCCATTTTCCGCCCGTTCCACGTGGTCCGCGGCCATTTTTCCGCCCATTCCATGTGGTCCGTGGCCATTTTCTGCCCGTTCCATGTGGTCCACGGCCATTTTCCGCCTGTTCCTCATGGTCCATGGCCGTTTTTCCGCCCTCCTGCATGGTCCACAGCCATTTTCTGCCCCTGACACGTGGTCCGCGGCCAATTTTCCACCCGACACGTGGTCCGCGGCCATTTTTCCGCCCTGCTGCGTGGTCCGCGGCTGTTTTTCCGCCCCTGACGCATGGTCCGCGGACGCCGGAACGGATTACCGGTAATTACATTGAACCTTATGGGAAAATTTGCCTTGTGTTGCGACCAATTTGAGTTGCAACCAGAGTCACGGAACGGATTACATTCGTAACTCGAGGTTCCACTGTACTTCATCCCCTCATAATGTCCACCTTGTTTGTAATTCACTCCACTCCTATTCAGACAAAAATGTTATAGCTGCTTAGCTTCTTCCCATGCTAAGACTTTGGAAAAGGGACCAATGTTTCTCTATATCAGGCAATAATTTATATCCAAAATAACCCATATCTAACTGGATCATTTCTGAAGCCCTGGATCAGATGGACTTTGCACACCCCAGATACAAATCCTCTTACTGAAAATTCTCAACTACAACTATTAGCAGCTTTAAAAAGATCACACTAGCTGAAGCAGGGTATAAGCTTGTGCCTTCTTTTAATTTTCACTTACTAAGATTTAAGTTTTTCCATATAATATAAGCATTTTGTTGTAACATGAACCTAATAAGTTACTTAAATACTGGTTTCTGCTTTAACTATTAACATTGTCTTTATATTTTGTTATTACACATTATTTGTCAGTGTAGGGATCTTAAGAAGCGAATGTGAAATAGTTTCAAAGCATTCACAATGAACGTCCCAAATTTGAGGTTTTGCCTTTATACATTCACAAACCATATTCAACCATTTTCTGAGAATACCCACCACATGCTCTCAAAATTCTAAATGTGCCCCAAGCCCACAAAGGAAGCCTAATGTTGTTCTAAAGCCTCAATCTTACAAGGATGGTGTTGCAGCATAACAGGTTGCAGCCCTTCACACAAAATTGGGAACCAATTCATACAGTCAGCTGTAGCAAATGTTTCTGCAGTTGTCTAAACGTTGCAAAAGATCAGTGACAAACTTTGCTCTTTTCCCTGAATTGATAGACTGACTATGAGACAGCCAAATTCCTGAATGCCTGTAAGGAAAGATAAAACTGTATTTGGGAGACCACAGTGGCCATTTCAATATTCAGTGTTTTCTAAAATCTAGCCTAGAAAATGTGTGTTCTTTCCTTTAAACATGATAAAAAAGTATTGATTCCCCCAATCACCATTAATAGCCTAAGGAAATTGACAGCACTTCTAACTATTGGAGAAAGATTAGCCCATAAAACTGTTAACCAGATAACCAATTAAATAATGCTTGTGAAGGCTCAGAGTCAGCATCTGAGATCTGCAAGTGTACTACAATCCCAATCAAAAACAGATTAATAAAATAATTAGGATAGCATTTACTACAAACTACCAGTAAGATACAGTCTGAAATTTCTGGTAAACTGATTCAAAACCTTTGGATTCCAGTGTTTTGATGCATTTTACAGCAAACCTAATCTTTATATTATGAAAAAGGAACAATCTTATATTTTTAAAAAAATTCATCCAATAATGAATTCAATGCAATTGCATGCCATGAACAAATGTCTCCAGTATCCCCATACAACTAACTATATGAGTTTTTTAATTTTGTTTCACAGGAAGAATCCCTGATTCATAATAAAGCAGAGCTATACTTGTAAAGAAAGCTCAGTAGGACAGTATAAACCAGATTTTTTTTAAAAAAAGTGTCCAACATGCATTTTATATAGTATCTAATGTTTTCTTTCAGCAATTTTTTTTTTGATAAAATGAGCATTTGCAAGATAATTGTAAACAGTAAAAATAAGCCTTCTATTTGTTTGTCAGGGCCCAATCCATAATAAATTTTGCCCAAATTGTCATATATAATCATACTCTTCTTAAAATATTCTTCAAATACTTTTATTTAATTTTTTACAGATTGGTGATATAATTCACAAGTAAATTTTTAGTTAGTAAGATTAAATATGCCCAATTCCAGTATTAGATATAAGCACATCCTAGGAGCTATCTAGAAATCAGTTAATCCCAGCTCCAGGGATGATACTCAATTGCTGTGAGTAAAAGGCACTTTAAAGTAACAACCTTGATCACTCTGTCCGTTTCTCAAATGCCAACAAGGCTAAATACAAAGTTTTATTTAGAAAAAAAATTAACAAGGCTTTGTAGATTTTCAACATGAGTACAATCCTATTGCTTAGATTGTCTGAGAATATCCAATACGTAGTCCTCAATAAATGATACAAGTATATTGAAAAAAGAATTCAATTGACTAATTATTGATTATCTTCTATTAAATACTTTAAGCTCTAATCCTCTAAGCTTCTATGCCTCCTAAAAGTTTGTTAGCTGAAGAAAAGCAGGTGGAGGGACAGGGATTGATATGTGATGGCAATTATAGTACAATACAGGCAAAAATTATTTAGCCTTAGTGTTTATGGCACTATGTAAAGTTTCTTTTAAAATGAAAGGTTCATCTGGTAGTGTCTGTCTATACTCATCTAAAGGGAGATAAAAAAGTTAATGAATATGGCTAAATAAGGACACTAAAGACTGCTTTCATTCATCTAAGTAACATACTACTTATTGATGTGTATTCTTTTCCAAATCATAATAGAGTGCTACATCTTCCATATTTGAAAAGAACAAAATATACAATATAAAAAAACTAGAACAAAATTTCTATTCATGAAATATCATACCATCTCTTACTATAAATCAAATACGAATCAAATTTAGATATGAAGCTATTGTTGAGCAATGTGATAAAGTTCAAAATTATTTTTCACTTTTACTAAGTGTACAAAAACTGTGAGGTCCTATGATCCCATAAGAATCTTAATATTAAAAAAATTATCTTTAGAATATAATGTTCAGTCTTAAATAAGTATTGATTGTCCAAGCTCATTTTTCTATAAAAATAATGGTTGTATAAAACTTTGAGCATTAAATGGAATTTTTGGTTGAATACAAGAGTTCCGGTCAAGTGCATAATATTTATATACAGAACTCAAAGAATCACACATTTCTATTTTTCATTTTTTAAGGCAAGAACCACATTATAATCCAGGAGTTGTCTTTTGACTTTTTCGTGAAACTTCTCTCTATACTGGTTGAAGTACATAATACTCTCCGGCTTCTCTTCAAACCAAAATTTGTCAAACTCGTAAGTCAAGTAACCTGTGAGGACCAAAAAAACCAAACATTTGTTGTGAGAATGTAATATTAGACATAGTAACATTTAAAAAATTATTTTATCCATTATTAAAACTACTTAATTACATAATAACTTTCCTGGATCAGGCCAAGGCCCATTAATCCAGTACTTTGCTTCTCACAGTGGTCAGCTGGATGCTCCTTGCAAATAGACAATATTATTGCCCTGCAACTGGAATCGAGACATGCTGTCTCCAACATGGAAATAACACTGAGTCCTCAAGACCAATAGCCCTTGATAGAACTGTCTTCTATGAATTTATCTATTTTTTTAAAGCCATCCATGTTACCAACACATCTTGTGGTAATGAATTCTAGACATTATGTGCTGTGTGAAGAATGCTTTCTTTTGCCTGTTCAAAATCTTTTTCTAAACAGCTTCATTAGATTACCCTGGCACTGCATTATCAGAGATAAAGTTGTTCACTTTCATTATGCCATACATTATGTTATACCTCTTGATCATGTTCTCCTTGATTACTTTTTTCCTCCAAGCTAAAGAGTCCCAAACATTCCAGCCTTTTTTGTAGAGATTATGTTTGAGCTCCTAAATACTTTTGGTTAGTCTCTTCTGCACTTTTTCCAGTTTTATATCACTTTTCAGATGTAGTAACTAGCACTGCACACAATACTCCAGATGTGGCTGTACTATAGTTTTCTATAAATGGATTGTTCGTAGTTCTGTTTCCTTCTCCAAATTCAGTGCTTAGAATTGAAAAGGTTATTTTAGATACTTCCAAAATTTAGTCACTATGAATTTTAAAGGACATTTTCCTCCTCTTGTGAAACAAACATTTTTACTTGGACCTTCAGGGCATAAAAGGGCAATACCTAAAGCTACACGGTACTGCTTTACTTGGCAACACCAATGGTTTGGAACAGTCTCCTGACAGAGATCAGGCTAGCCTGAACTATTTTGGAGGGCATTCTCTTAGCTTGAATATGACACTAACTTTTTTCCCATTATTTTTTATTGTTGCTCCTGTATTATTATTGCTTGCTTGGGTTTTTAAACTATGTCAGCAGCTGAGAGACATCTGGTTGCAGCAGGGTAGAAGTCTGATAAATAAATTAAAAGAATAAATAAACTTTGCAACAAAAGTGTTACATTCTCTTTTTCAAATATTTCTATAAAAATTTAAATTGAGTAGTACTTAATATGATAATGAAAACTACTAATTTCTAACTAGATTCTGGAACAGCAACCTCCAAAAATATAGAAGCAAGCCATCCCTCTAAAGGACACTTGCAAATACTCACAGTAAAACTGATGGAAATCGTTCAGCTGCGGAGTACCAGGAACCGAGTTGTAAAAGTGACTTTTTAAAAGTCCCTTTGTTAACAGACAGTAAGCCATCTCTGTCAAGTTGATCCCAACAATTGCATAAGAGTATCTGCAACATATATATACATGCACACACACACGTCTCTTAAAACCATCTCAATCACATTGGTACATCATCTGGGTGTGTTCCTAGAGTCAGCATTGTCATTGAGGGTCTAAGTGATCTCTGTGCTAGGGCTTCCTATTGATAACTTTGGCCAGTCTATCAACTATCTCCTTTCTTGGACAGAAACAGTCTCTCTATAGTGGTTCCAGCATTGATAACCTCACATTTAGACTACTACAATGTACTCTAAGTGGGGCTATCCTTGTATTTGGTCTGGAAGCTGGAGCTGGAGCAGAATGCAGTGACCAGGTTCCAATTAGCTGCCAAGCCAGGTTCAAGGTTTCAGTTATGATAGTTAAGGACCTAAACAACTTAGCACCAGGATACCTGTCAGATTGCCTTCATTGTTGCTTGATCTGTAACTGAGATCATCAGTACCAAGAGTTACTAGGTGCCATTTGGTTGATGCTGGCAGGCAAACCTTTTCTGTAGTAACGTCTGTGTTTCTGGAATATTCCTCCCTCTGACATTTGGGAGATATCTACTATGTAACCTTCTAGGCATCTGTTGAACACTTATCTCTTTATCTAGGTCTTCCTAGTATGAAAGTTTAAATATGTTTTTCTTATGTCCTTACTTTAATGAATATGTTTTATGGAATAATGTAATTGTGTATTATTTTATTGTCTATTTCATTGCTACTTTCTTATAACTACCCCCCCATGCCTCATTGTATGAAGTGGTATATAAATGTAAATAAAGTGGACAGCTCTCATCAGAGGAGCCAGATAAACAATACAGTGAGACATAATTTACAGAAACCTATGGCAGATCGGTCATCATCCAGGTCAACAAGGGCCATGCTAGGTATTCTAGTTCCTGGATATCTGGTGACAAGTAGGCTACAAGACTCAGGACTGTTGGCTGAGCAACCAGGGCCAGCAGCTGCAGGACTACTGGAAGAAAAGTTGTTTACCCATCGCAAA